TCCTCCTCCTCCTCCTCCTCCTCCTCCTCCTCCTCCCCCTCCCCCTCCTCCTCCTCCTCCTCCTCCTCCTCGCGCCCCAGGGTCGCCGCCGGAGGCGGCGTCAGGGTGTTGAGACCGCCACGGACTGTTCGGGGGGCCTGTCGAGGCCAGCTGGGACTACTCGGGGGGCCTGTTGAGGCCAGCTGGGGCTACCTGGGGAACCGTCAGTGCACAGCCCGAAGCCTTGCCAAGAATGACAACGTGGCAGCTACGCCTCGGGGCGAAGGAGGAGCGCGTCAAGCTTCCGATAAGTGCCGCGGCAGCAACTGCCGAGAGCCTGATCAATCGACAACCATACCCTGAGATCCGGGCGTTGGAATTGTTCCACACCGGGAATGTTCGCTCGGTTTCGGGCCCCGGGACCATCACATATCGATCAAGCTCGAAACACGCCGCAGAATTATGGGGTCTGGAGCTCAGGTCGTGAATTTGACGCGATCTTAAACATTTCGCAACGTTGGATCTCAGGATGCACACCACGTCGTTTGGTCGCCCAAGGAGCTCGGAGTGTAGACACCCCAGCTTCTCAACCTAATATGTAGGACGCTGGAGCTCGTATACACCAAATCCGCTCGCCGAGCTCATTGGATCCCTGGCTGGCCGGACGACGCGCTGTATACATGGAGCCGCTCCGAGCTGTGGATCTCTCGAGGTCATGGTGTATGCGAAGGTCCCTAGGCACTCGACTGGCGCGGGGCTGGAAGTTCGTTGAGGTTGATCGCTGTGCGCATCCACGGCCGGTTGCATCGTGCAGCGCCAGGACCAGGGATACCGCCTGCGCAAAGAGCGGCGAAGAGCGCACCGAGAGCATGGAAGTCCGCACGCTCGCAGCGCGGCGAAGATGGGTTACTCAGAAGAGGTGCTGCGGAGAGAAAGAAGCGTGAGCTCGTAGCAGAAGCAGCGTGGAAGCGTCGTAGCCCTTGAGACAAAACTGCTACGAAGGGGAGGGGGGCCGTGGAGGAGCAGAAGGAGGCATGACGAAGACGAAGAGAATGCACGAGGGATAGCAGTAGGGGGGCGAGGAGCAGAAAGGGAAACGAGAAGGGAGGGGAAGGAGAAGGCCGAAGAGGATGATGCGCAGGAGTGGGAGGATACAAGCATGGAAATATGAATAAGAACTCACTTTCTGATGTCTGTATGGATTTCTTGGCGCTGTGCTGGGCCCCATTCCCTGGCACGCGCGGGGCGCGCAGGGGCAGCGCCGGAGGCACCACTGGGGGGCGCCCAGCGCAGATCCAGGAAATCCGCGCGGACCTCCGAAAGTCAACGTTTGTTCGAACTGCTCATCCTCAGGAGAAGAAGACCCAGACATCCGAGGTCGTGATCTGTTCGCAAGGTGGCTCCCCAGAAGTCTGGGCACCTTCCCGGGGTCCGACTTCTCATCCTGAGTCGTTGTTTGACGGTCCCGGGGGCTGGTGAGGGCCACCAGAGGCCCAAAATCGCCGAAAACCTTCCGTCGCGATTCTACTCACGACGCAAGGGTATCGCTACTCCCCAGACCTCAGCTGGGTTGCGTTCTGACAACAAGAAAAAGCGACGCCAATCCAAACGTGGCGATGAGGGCCTCCCAGGAGGCCTAAAAAAGGTGACAACAACGGGAGGGTAGCCGTATCGGCACGTCCTCCTCCTCCTCCTCAGGGCAGCAGCGAGCAGGGAAGGGGCGAGGCCAGGCAAGCGCCGACACGGGCCGCCTTGGGCGGCCAGAAACCACGCACCCCAGGCCAGGAGGCTCACCGCGCAGAGGCGGGTTCGTGCGGGCAGCCGACCCTCTCCGCTCTCGCTCGATCCTCCTCCTCCTCCTCCTCCTCCTCCTCCTCCTCCTCCTCCTCCTCCTCCTCCTCCTCCTCCCCCCCCCCTCCCCTCCCCCCTCTCCTCCCCTCCTCCTCCCCTCCTCCTCCTCCTCTCCTCCTCCTCCTGCGCCTCATCCTCCTTCTCCTCGCCTCCTCGACTCGATCTATCCTCCGCCTCCCCCCCGCCTTCCTCCCCCCGCCTTCCTCATCCTCCATTGCCATTCCTTATAAATAACTCCTCCCTGTTGCACCCCGAGGCCGGTCGAAAGGGCAGGCTGGGCGTTTCGCCTGAGAGTTCCCCACCACTTTTCCTCTTCAAGCTCAAAACCCAAAAGAGTTTCACGGATGGAGGGCAGGACGTTTCCATAATGTTGTTCTCGCCATAGTTCGGCGCATACGGATGGAGGGTGGGCCGTTTTCATCATATGACCCTCGCCTTGACGCCACGCGCATCCGTTGTTTAAACATGCAAGACTTTTACTGGAGGGCGGGTCGTTTTCAAAATGAGGCTCTGGCCTTGGCGCCGCGCGCACTCGTTTTAAGAGTTTTCACCAGTTTCAAGGAGTATCTTGGTTAGCGTCAAAGAAACGGTGTTCTGGCACGAATGTCGGATTGTATGGCATATACATTGACTCGTGGTGTTGAAGTCCCAGGCATGATGTTCTGGCACGATTCAGGATCGTCAAGACGCAACAGTAATGGCGAGTCACTGCGTTAAAATCCCAGGAGTGGTGTTTTGGTGCAGCTCCGGAATCTTAAACGGATGTCATTCAAAGGGGCACTTCCTTCAGTGAAAGCGAACCCTTGCAGGGGCATGTGAAGAGCGAACTTGGAGGGAGGGCTTATTGCAATATCGTTAATGAGTCTTGGGCGTACACTGGTCCTCCTCCTCCTCCTCCTCCCCCTCGAGCCACCTCCAAAAGCCTCCTCCTCCTGCCTCCTCCTCCTCCTCCTCCTCTTTCGAGCCTCCTCCTCCAGCCTCCTCCTCCTGCCTCCTCTTCCTGCCTTCTCCTCCTCCTCCTCCTCCTCCTCCCCCTCCTCCTCCCGGTCCTCCTGCTCCTCGAGCCTCCTCGCGCCTCCTGCGTCTCCTCCTTCTCCTCCTTCTCCTCCTCGGGCCTCCTCATCCTCCGCCTCCTCCTCTTCCTCATCCTCCTCATCCTTCTCCGCCTGCTCCTCCTCCTCCTCCTCCTCGAGGCTGCCGCTCTTCCTCCAGCTCGTCAACATCAACGACATCATCATAACACTCGCTCTTCATCTCAACATAATGTTCACCATCAGGTCTTCCGGGCTTTGGCCTGATCAGCATACTCGTCGCTCTTCCTTCCATCACACTACTCACCATGAGCATCATCAGAATCACCGTCGAACTCATCATCGCCAGCAGCAGCAGCAGCAGCAACATCATCATCGCCATCACCGCCGTCATCGACTGCATCATCGTCATCAATATCATCATGAGCCTCACCTCCAACATCAAACTCATCATCTCCATACCCGGCACCACACCATCAGCATCATCAGCATTCCCATCATCATCACCATCATCATCAGCATAATCGTCATCATCAGCATAATCACCATTATCATCCGCATCAGCACCATCATCATACTGATCAGCATCATCAGCATCACCGTCAGCACCATCATCATGATCATCAGCATCATCATCAGAATCACCATCATTATCGCCACGATCATCATCATCATCATCATCATCATCATCATCATCATCATCATCATCATCATCATCACCATCATCTCATCATCATCATCATCATCATCACCATCATCATCATCATCATCATCATCGCCACCATCATCATCATCATCGACAATTATCGTCAGCATCAGCATCATCGTCATCATGATTATCATCATCATCACCGTCATCACCATCGTCATCGTCATCACCATCACCGTCATCATCATCGCCACCATCACAAACATGCGTCATCACCACCATCAACATCATCATCATCATCATCATCATCAGCAGCATTACCATCGTCATCAAGAGTATCAGCATCATCAGCACCATCATAATCATCAGAATCTGCAGCATCATCACCACCAGCTCTCGTACCAACCCCATCCATCGCCATCGTCATGGCCATCATCTGTATCGTCCTCATCATCACGAACAACAGCAGCAACAACAGCATCGTCAGTACGACCGTCATCATCAGCATCATCGTCATCAATATCGTCATCAGCTGTACCGCCAACATCACACTTACCATTCCTACACCCAGCATCACATCATCAACATCATCAGCATCATCATTAACCGCCTCACTACCATCATCAGCATCATCATCACCATCATGAACATCAGCATCAGCATCGTCACCATCATCAGCTTCACCATCATCACCATCATTAGCATCGTGATCATTCATCATCACCAGTATCGTCATCGTCATCACCATCACCAGCATCATCATCACCATCATCACCATCGCCATTGTCACCACCATCCTCATCGGCAGCATCATCATCGCCATCGTTCGTATCAGCATCATCGCCATCATCATGTCCATCTTCTGTATCGCTCTCATCATCGCGAACAGCAGCAGCAGCAACAAAATCATAGTCAGCACGACCGTCATCGACAGCACAATCGTCATCAATCAGCCTTACTTCAAACATCACCCCCATCACCTCCATAGTCGGCATCAGACCATCAGCATCATCACCATCATCCTCATCATCACAATCATCATCAACGTCGTCGTCATCGTCATCGTCATCACCATCATCATCAGTTTCAGCATCATGATCATTATCAGCGGCAGTAGCATTATCATCATTATCACCATAAGCATCATCAACATCGTCATCATTATCACCACCGTCGTGGCCATCGCCATCGTCATCACTATCACCAGCATCATCACCATCATCAGAATCACCAGAATCATCTCTACCATCATCAGGATCATCATCGCGAACATCAGCATCATTTTAGTCATCATCATCGTCATCGTCAGCATCGTCATCACCATTATCATCATCATCATCATCATCATCATCATCATCATCATCATCATCATCATCATCATCATCGTCGTTGTCATCATCATAGTCATCATCTTCAGCATCATCAGTCATCATCATCATCATCGCCATCATCAGCATCCTCGTCCTCACCATCACCATCACAATCACAATTACCATCACCGTCATCATCATCATTATCATCATCAACATCATCGCCATCGTCTTCGTCATCACCACCACCATCATCATCAATCATCATCACCATCATCGTCATCGTCATCGTCATCATCCTCATCCTCATCATCATCCTCATCATCATCATCATCATCATCATCATCATCATCATCATCATCATCCTCGTCATCCTCATCCTCATCCTTATCCTTATCCTCATCCTCCTCCTCATCATCATCATCCTCTTCCTGGCGCCGCCCCCGCACCCTGGAAATACCAGCGCCGCACAGCCCTCACACCGCCACGGCGTACTCCGACATCGACGCGGCGCGCAAGGCCCGGATCGCCTCTCCAGGAGTCCGCCGACCATCGCGCCCCCCAAAAAAAACACGATCCGAGGGGAAGCGGCAGGAGGGGACTGACCCACCTTCGGGCCATGGAACTTCCAGATCGATGCAGCGCGTATAGTGGCGTAGAAATATGGGGTCCAGGGTTCTGGTCATGATTTTGTTGCTTCGCCGCATCTCAGGGGGCCTCGCTCCCCTCCTCTGCTCGCTGCTGCTGCTGCTCGCTCTCCCCAGACGTCCTCGCGCCGCGAGCACAATCGCGCCAGAAGGTTTCTGGCATTTTTGTTGCCCGGAGGGGGCCCTCACCAGGCCCCGGGACCGTCAAAAAACTACTCGGGATGAGAAGCTGGTCATCGGGAAGGGGTCCAGACCTCTGGGGAGCCACGCTGCGAAAAAAACACGATGCCGGATGCCTTTGCACAGGGGGCAAAACTCAGCAACGCGCCGAGGGGGGGAAGTGATAGGGGGTAGGCCTTCTCAGAAGGCGGCGGGGCTTTCAGAAGCCTCCACGGGACTTTCGAGGACCTCAACGGCTTCGAAGAAGGTCAAAAAGCTTCTCCAAAGGCTGGAAGCCTTCTTAACCTTCTGAAAAGGCCCGCACCACTGCCTTCCCTTCCCCCCTGGGCGCGCCGCCGAAAAACGTGGACCTGAGGTCGGCGATACATCGCATATAGATCGGCGACAGGCTCTCGATAGCAAACCTGCACAGTCCAGGGCAGGTTGAGGCACCCTGTCCCGAGTGGCGAGGGATCGGCAATTGCGGGTCGATGCTTCACCCCCGAACCAATCCATCCCTTGCCAACTCACCTGGGAGTCGAATCGGAATGTGCGTCGGACCGGGGGAAACCAAGAGATACCGATACCGCTACTCCCCAGACCTCTCGCGAGGTGCGTGCCGACCAGGATTTCGAGGCGAATCCAGCCGTGGCGACGAGAGCCTCCTTGGAGGCCCAAAAAGGGGAAAACCGACGGAGGGTAGCGGTATGGGTACTGTCTCCTCCTTTGGCTGGAATCGGCATTGGCCCTGGCCTCGCGCACCCCCGCGTCCACGACGTTCGGCTTCCTGAAGCCCGCATCCATCCCCACGCCGCCGGCGCTGGAGCCGCGCGAGCCGGCCTCGAGCGTCGTCGCCGTCGCCGTCGTCGCCGTCGTGGTCCCCAGTTTGGGTTGCTCCTCCCATGGACGGCCGACCCTGTCCTGGGCTTGTCGGTGGACGTGTGGGGGGGAGTGGAGGAAGAAAAACACTGCGTGAGCGTAAACTGTTGGAGGTCTGTGCGGATTTCTTGGATCTGGGCTAGAAGCCATCCCTGGAAAGCGGAGCGCGCCAGGGGCGGCGCCAGAGGCGCCGCCATTGGGCCCCAGCACAGATCCAAGAAATCCGCGCGGAGCGCCAAACAGAAAAATGTTTATGGCGCTTGTTTACTCTCCGAGGCTTGTCGGTCGGCGTGGGGTGGGGGGAGGCGGGGGCGGGACCATCCCGCCTCGTCGGCGCACCACCACGCCGGGGCGTCTTGGAGCGCTTTCGGCGCGCGGCGGCTGTCTGCGACGCGGGCCGCTTTGGGGCCGCTGGCGGGGGAGGCGGCCCCCCGACGCCGTGAGAGCGTGAGAGGAGCACCGATGTCGGGCGAGTGGTGATGGGGGGTGGCCTGAAATGAGGGGTGAAGAGAAGGGGACCCAACGGGGCCGTTTAGGACCCCTTTTGGAACCAGCAGGGGCCCAAAAGTGGTCCTAAAGTACCCCTTCAGGGCCGATTTCTTCACCCCCCATTTAGGTCATCCCCCATTACCAGCCGCCCGAACCGATGGAGCAATTTGCCGCCGCCTTCCTAAGACGAAGCCAGGACGAGGATAAAATCGGGCGAGGATAGTTCGAGAATCTCTGAGATCCGGCGGCTCTGGAGGATGCCTCGGGCGCCGCGGCATTCTCAGAGCTTTCCACAAGGCTCTGAGACCGTTCTGGAACGCTCTGGAACGGATTGATCCTCGTCCTGCTCCCGCCCGACGCCGCCTTCCAGCGCCACCCTGGCGCTGGGAGCTCGGAGCAATCCGTCAGACCGGGAAACGCAGAGGCCTCCCAGATGGGGTCCGAGCAGATGGGGTCGGAGGATCACGCCGCACCGCCGATGCATCGCCTATGCATCGCCAATGCATCGACTCCGTCGGCGTCGTCGGCGCGCAGAAAAACGGACTCCACATCGAGCCGCATCGCCGATGCATCAGCGATGCGGCGCGATCCTCCAACCCCATCTGCTCGGACCCCATGTGGGAGGAGTAGAGAGAGAAGAAGAAGAAGAACAATAATAATGATAATAATAATAATAAGAAGAAGAAGACGGATAATCATAACAATAATATTCATTCAAATAACGAAATGTGAATAATAAGAACAATATTCATACCACTGACAAGAAGAAGAAGGCATATACCGAGCAATAATAATAGCAATACATATGAAGGTGACACGAACTCTCAACATACCCGCGTTAACAGCACTGACCAGGCCAATACGATTAACAAAAAGAAGAACTAGTAAGAATGAAATAATAGTACCAGTAATAAGAATGATAAAGAATATGTTTAATAACAAAAAGAAAAAGAAAAACAACAATAACAATAATAAGAAAAAGAAGAAGAAAAAGGGGCCGCGTGTCCGACAGGCGCGTGGGCAGCCGGGGCGCGGCTGGAGCACCCGTCCACGAGACAAGAGCGCAGCGCGAGACCCCCGCGGGGCACGCGGTGCGCCGAGGCCCGGGCGGCGTGGCAACCAAAGGAACAACGGCGGCCCCGTGCCTGCCGGCTCCGCGGGGCCCCGCGGCTCCGGCGCGCCCCGAAGCTGCGGGCGGTGCCAGAGGTGCCCCGAAAGCCCGAGGTGCCCCCCAGCTTGGCGCTCCACCTTGGAGCCCCTGGGGCCCTCTGGGCCTCGTGCTGGGGCGCCCTGGAGGCCGTCGGGGCCACCCCGAGAATCCTGGGGGGGACCTTGGGCCAGGGGTACTTCTAGCAACACCAAACGGCGGCCCCGTGCCCCGTGCCTGCCGGCTCCACGGTTGGAGGCCTAGACATGGGCACCAACACCAACACAGAGGCTTGCCACCAAATGGGGAAGATGGTCCTGGATTTCGGTGTCGGTGGCAGTAGTTCGGTCAGCTTGGATGCCAGAATATTCCCACCACCACCGAGATCGGGATCTTCTTCCCTCGGTGGAAGCACACCGCCGACATAGGTGTTGGTGTCGACCTCTGGGCCTGCGACGGGGGCCCCGCGGCCCTGGAGCGCCCCGAGGCTGGGCTCCAGGCGCCGACATGCACCTCGCGAGGCGGGGTCGCTGCGCTCCTCCCAGAGATTACCAGCCTCGAACGTATCCCTATCCCTAAGATTGACACGCCAAAAGGCGATGACAATCTTAGGGATTCGCCCTCAAAAAATAAGGGAATCCCTAAGATTGGCATCGTGATGAGGAGGTGCCCAGCATAGGGATAGGGATATGGTCCAGGCTGGAAAAGAGATTCGGCGCTCCAGCAAAAGCTGGAGCGGCGGGCTTTGGGCAGTTTGGGGCCTGCGGGGGGGGAGCCATCGCCGGGCCTCGGCAGCGTCACACAAGACGACCCGGGACGAAGAGCCGGCCCCACGGAAAGTGGCCCAGAGTGGCTTCCGGGGCCCGCGCGCCGAAGACATTGGAGCCGCCGGACGTCTGGGAATGCGTCCCGAGGCGGGGTCGCTCCGCTCCTGGCCGCCCCTGCGATGGGCCCGCGTGCGGAGCGGGGCACTGCCGGTCTCCGTCCTGAGCTCCCGCCTCCGCTGCCCTCCAACCCTGGACCTCTCGGGACCCCCTCGCGCGGAGGGGGAAGACGGCTGCTCCGCGATCTCTGGTGTCCGGCTCGGGGTGGCAAGCGGGTCGACAGAAGGACGCCCCGTCCAAATCTCCAGGGAGCCACGAGTCGAGAAGGCAAAAAAGCCCAGACATCGTCGGCTGTCTGGGCTCGTCCAGCCTGCCGGCTCTCACCCGCCTCCTGCATTGCTTGCTGGTCTCTTGCCAACGGCGAGCGACGTCCCCTGCGGACCCAAACTAGACCCGCCTCCCTGGATGGTGCCAACTGCGCACCCGTAGCAACTCTCGCGAGAGCTGCTCAGGAGTCCAGCGGAATGACCTCATAATATACGGGGGCCAAAACTAAAATTCGCCTGCCGGGGTGGTAATCACTGCACCAAACATCGCCACCTGCGTCAGTTCCAGAGCGGTCCAGCGGAGTGATGTCCTACACGGGCCCAAACTAGACCTCGCCTGCCCAGGTGGTGCCAACTGCGCGACCGTCGGAACCTTCGCGAGCTCCTGCGAGGTCCAGCGGAGTGACGTCCTACGGGGACACCAACCAGACATCACAACCGTGGGTGGCGCCAGCTACTCAACCGTCGCTATTCGCGTGAGCTCCTCAGAGCTCCAGCGGAGTGACGCCCTGTGAAGACCCAAGACCTTGCCTCCCTGTGTGATGACAGCTGCGTGCGTCGCCAGGCCCCACCCTGCGCAGAGGACAGAAAAACTCAAACCAACGCATGACTGGAGAAACCGAAAGGTACTGATACCGCTACTCCCCGGACCTCTCCCGGGGCGCGTTCTGACCAGAACTTCTAGGCGGATCCAGCGGTGGCGACGAGGGCCTCCCAGAAAGCCCCCAAAGGCGGTATGGGAGAGAAGAGTGCAGTATGGGTGCCAAGTCCTCCTCCGACACGGGGCTCCGAGAGAATTGCTCCGGCCCAGTGGAATCGTCTCGGCTTTCTGCCGCAGCGCGCGGAGCGCGCCGAGGAGGCCCCGCTCGGAGGTGGCGGGGCCCACGCTCGGGGGTCCCCTGGACCTCTGTCGAGGAGGGCCTTTCGCGGGTGCCCCTGGGCCCCAGGGCGGCAGGCCGAACATGAGCTGACAGCGACCGACGGCGACCAAAGACGACGACCAGAGGCCAACGACGATGACCGTCGACCGACAACAGCGACCATCAGCAGACGACGACCACCAACGACTACCAACGACGACCAACGACGATCGCGAGAGCGACGACGACGACGACGACGACGACGACGACGACGACGACATTAACGACATTGACAGCCGACGACCGACGACGACAGACGACGACAGACGACGACAAATGACGACCGACGACCGACGACCGACGACGACGACGAACGACCGCCGACGGCGACCGTCGAAGACGAACAACAACCTAATTAGGGGAGCCGAGAGATACCTATACCGCTACTCCCCGACCCTCTCTCCGATACTGCCGTTGCGTTCTGACCCGGATTTCAAGGTGAATCGGGCCATCGCACCTGAAGCCGTCCAAGGAGGCCCAAAAAGGCGGAACGAAAACGTGGCAAGGGCAGTGGTATCAGTACCTCTGCCTCCCCTGACGACCGACGACGACGACGACGCATCTCGACGAATCGGCGACACGTGGGAAACATCGGCCTGGAATCGGCGATACACCGCCGACTGATCGGCGATGGGCCGCCTGGGCGTGCCCCGGGGCCCAATCTCGGCGATCGATGGGCGATGGGGGGTCGACGCATCCCCCCCATGACCCTGTGCCCGCTCACGGTGCCCCTGAGGGCCTCGATGGGCGGCAGCGCGACGCAGAGCGGGGTGCGTTCTGGCCAGACTACCGGGGAGAAGTCGGCCGGCTCTCCACGACGAGCAGCCGCATCCGTGCCTTTCCCTTCTCTGACGACGGCTGACGACGACGACAAATGACGACCGACAACCGACACACGACCACCGACGGGGACCGCCAGCGACTCCCTGCATCGTTGCATCGCCATGCAGCGCATGCTTACGAACACATTGCTGCATGGTTTGCTGCAAGCATGCACGAATGTGTGCTTGTTGCGCCATCCGTAGCCGCCGAGACTCGAATCTAGAAGTTGCCTGACACGCTCTAGAGCCAGGCAGAGGACAAAAACCTGCGCAATCACAGCTTGAGAGTTCTTTGGTTTCGTCGTGCAGACCGACGACGACGGCAAATGACGACCGACACCCGACGAGCGACCACCAATGGGGACAGCCAGCGATGACCGACGATCGACGGTCGGCGGGACGTAAAGGTGGGGTAGGAGCAGAGGTGGGGTTGATAGGAAAATCCCTCTAGACGGTTACTGGAAGAAGGAAGTGTGAGCACCCAGCTGGGTTCGCTCCTAACCCCAACTTGGGATAAACCCTCCCCAATCTACGAACCCCCGAGACGACCCCAAGGGCCTCGATGGGTGGTAACGTGATGCCGACGACGAGCGACCACCGACGGGAACCGCCAGCGACGACCGCCTCGAGAGAGCTTTGCAAGCAAGTTCGGAGCCAGGTTCGCAGATCCCTGGCTGCGCTGATCTCCTTCTGTAAGGCTGCGCCGAGACGCGCAGCTTCACAGCACCACAGACCATCATCATCATCATCATCATCATCATCATCATCATCATCATCATCATCATCATCATCATCATAATAATCAGCATCATCATCTTCATCGTCATCAGCACCATCAGCATCACCATAACCATCATCAGCATCACCATCAGCATCGCACCACCACCACCAGCAACATCAGAATCATCATTATAAACATGATCTCCATTCTCCTCCTCCTCATCATCCTCAACCTCACCATCGCCATCGCCATCACCATCGCTATCGTCATCAAAACCACCGTCATCATCGTCATCATCACCACCACCATGCTGATCATCATCATCATCATCATCATCATCATCATCATCGTCCTCATCGTCCGCATCGGCATCATCACCCTCAGCTTCATCCCCATCCTAATCACACTCACCAGCACCATCATTAGCATCATCATCATCATCGTCTCCATCAACATTATCATCACCACCACCATCACCATCATCATCAGCATCATCATCATCATCAGCATCCCTGGCGTGATCGTAAGCACCATCATCAACATCAGCATCACCACCCCACAACCATCGTCATCATCATAATCATCATAACCACCACCACCATCATAATCATCAGCATCATCATCCTCAGCACCATCACCATCATCATCATCAGTATCACCACCGGCACCTCACCACCACATCCACCATCATCATCAGCATCAGCACCAGCATCATCATCATCATCATCATCATCATCATCATCATCATCATCATCATCATAAGCAGCATCATCCTCATCCTCATCCTCATCCTCATCCTCATCCTCACCACCACCTTCATCAACACCGTCATCATCATCGTCATCATCACTTCCATCACACTCAGCTCCAGTATCATCATCACCATGAGAATTATCATCACCACCACCACCACCACCATCATCATCATCATCATCATCATCATCATCATCATCATCGTCAGCATCATCATCATCATTCTCATCCCCAGCTGCATCATCATCATTTACACCATCGCCATCATCAACCACACCATGATCATAGTCGCCATCATCATCATCACCACCAACGCATCATCAACATCATCCTCATCATCGCCATCACCACCTTCATCAACCTCATCAGCATCATCATTACAATCAGCATCACAATCACCATCATCAGCATCGTCACCACCACCACCACCATCATCAGCAGCATCATGATCATGATTAGCATCATTATCACCACCATCGTCATGACCATCACCATCAACATCAACAATCATCAATACCATCATGAACCTCATCACCATCTTCATCAGCATCACCATCAGCATACACATCATCATCATCTTCATCATCATTACCATTATCGTCATCAGCATCATCATCACAACCACCACCATCAGCATCATCAGTTCCATCATGTAACCAATCATTTTCATCAGAACCGGCATCATCATCCTTATCATCATGATCATCATCATCAACACCATCACCATCATCAGCATCATCTCCATTATCGTCATCATCATCATCATCATCATTCTCGTCATCATCACCGCCACCATGATCATCATCATCGGCGTCACCGTCATCATCATCACCAGCATCGTCATCACAGGCATCATCGTCATCATCACAGCCACCACGACCACCAATATCACCATCAGCAGCATCACCACCACCATCAACAGCATCAGCATCATCATCCTCATGATCATTATCATCATCATCACCACCACCACCATCATCAGCATCATCATCCTCGTCGTCATCAGCATCACCATCATCAGCATCATCACCACCACCATCATCATCGTCATCGACATCATGATCGTCATCAGCATCATTGCCATCATCATCACTACCACCACAGTCATCATCATCATCATCATCAGCATCATCATCATCGTCATCATCATGATCAATATAATTATCATCACCACCACCGCCATCATCATCAGCAGCATCATCATCGTCATCATCATCAGTATCACCATCACCACCACCATCATCAGCAACATCATCATCGTCAACGTCGTCGTCATCGGCACCAGCATCATCATCATGATCAACATCATCACCACCAACACCATCATCATCGTCATCACCATCCACATCATTAATTATCATCATCATCAGCACCATCACCATCATCATCAGCATAATCACCATCGTCAACATCAGCATCACCATCATCATCAGCATCAGCATTATCATCATCATCGGCAGCAGCATCATCACCATCATCATCACGATCATCATAGTCATCATCACGTAATCATCATCAGCAGCATCATCATAGGCATCATCATCAACATTTGCATCATGATCATCATCAGCATCATCATCATCATCATCGTCATCATCATCATCATCATCATCGACCGACGACCGACAACCCCAAGGGCCTCGATGGGCGGCAGCGTGACGCCCACGGGCGTCGCCGGGGTACGCGGGCTGGGCGACGGGGCCGGCGAAGGCTGCTGCAGGGACCGCGCGCGCCCGCCAGTGCGGTGGCTGGCGTCGCCGGCCTCGTCTCCTTTTAGCGACTCCGAAGGGTGTGGTTTGTAACCCGCACCCTGGTCCTCGACACTGGTCGAGGTCTGACGGCATAAGCATAAGTTCAAGCATAAAAGTTTCTGCCCAGGGGGAATGGGCGAGGGCCTCAGCAGAGTTCTCGGCCGCGCCACGAGTCGGCCCGACGAGGGCAATGTGGTGCCCCCCGAGCCTCGATCCTTGGGAGGGCTGTCGCCGCCCTGAGATCTGGGCGTTGCAACTTTGTTCCGCATCGGGCGTTTTCGCACCAGGACCATCATCACAGATCGATCGGGCTCAAAGAATGCATCAGAAAGGTGGATATGGAGGAGGAGGAGGAGGAGGAGCAGGATGAGGAGGAGGAGGAGGAGGAGGAGGAGGAGCAGGAGCAGGAGGAGGAGGAGGTGGTGGTGGTACCAGCCTGGGGAGCCTGTGGGTCATCAGCGTAGTCATGCAGCTCATCACGCGTCACGACCCCTAGCTCGCGCTGTCTGCGGCCGTATGCCGCTTGTGGGCCAGGGAGGGCGATCAACCGACCGCCGATCCAGCACACACTCATGAGAGCACTGGCGCATAGGACCGAGCCTCCTATTGGGGCATCAGAGGACCCCGAGGAGGCGTGGGTCGAACGCACCTCGCATATTTACTGACTAGCGGGGCCCCAACCCCACAAAGAGAAAAAGACAAAGCCGTACTAGCTCACGATATTGAACCTGATTCGTGCGTCACACTGCCTACAGTGCTCGGCTCATCAGGGCACCCAAAAAACCTCAAAAGCCACTGGAGGTTCTGGGAGTCGGACCAGGACGAGGGATCCCCAGGGAAGGAGGCGGAGGAAGGGAGGGAGAAATCAAACTCTACACCCGACTCCTGGGCTCCTAGGCCCTGGAGACTCTCTGCATTAGCTTCTCTACTGCTGCTGCTCTCACTCAGTCCCTCAGTCGGATTCACTCGCTCCTCTGGAACTACCCCATCTCCACCAGGCAATCTACGATCGCGCGAGCATGTGGGCCCCGCGCGGGCCCGCCCACCTTCCGCTCCACCTCGGGCATCTTCGAGATGATCGCCAGGATCTCCTCGAGCATCGGCTGAAGCTGCGGCGAGACCATCAACTCCAGACGATACCAATCCTTCTTCCACTCCTTCTGACGATAGCATTTCTTCGTGAAGCATACGTGCACGTGAGGGTACAATACTGTCAGGTCCTTCACTTCTCCAACGTGTTTGGGAATCAGTGGCTTCGCCTTCTCGGGAATAGTGCCATCCTTCGCGATCGTCATGCACATCTGGCACCACAACTGGACCCAACTGTGGATCTCCTTCTTCAGCTGGGCGTGCTGCTTGGCGGCCTTCAGCGCCTCCTTCTTTTCGTGAATCGTGTGGCCCTTCTCCAAGAGCGACTGCAGCGCTGCGTTCTCCTCTGGTAAGAGCAGGCACGACGCCAACGCGCCCTGGTGGCGTCTCACGATGTTGTCGATGCCCACCACTGCCTTCGCCGTCGACTTCACCAGCCGCTCGGTCTGTTGGTCTAGCCCGGCCCCCGTCACTGCCCGCCTCTGCGGGTGTTGAGCTCCCGCCACTGTCATCGCGCCCTCCATCGGGAGACGAGGCTGGTGGTACGTCGGTGAAAAAGACCCTCGGCAACCACAGAGCACTGCTGTGATCAAAATGACTACGTACATGGGCTTTCAGTACGGGTACGTCGAGAGCGAGATGATCACACAGTGGGCACACTAAGCTACTAGGTTCTTCGAGAGGTCGATTACCCGCGGCGGCTCCCCCACGATTCTTAGGACATGCACCAGTATTATACCTTTGCTCCATATGACTATATCCCCATTCACGCTTAGCAAAAATACGATCACACCAGATACATTGATTAGATATCATAGCTAGTCGAAGTCGATCAGTCCGTCCGTGCACTCTGGTCTGGTGAACCCGAAGGGCCCTGGAGGTCTGGAAAGATTCTGTGCAAGGGATGCCCGTGGAGCCCACCTGTGTACAAGCAAACAGACCAGGAGCCGAACAAGGTAGTGCACGTGTTCCTCCACCTCCTCCTCCTCCATCTGCCGCCCAAGAGTAGTGAAGCATAGATTTAGGGGGTCGAAAGTGTCGAGCTCGCACCGCCTCAGGATCAAACAAAGCGAACCACCCCTTCTCGCGCAGGATATTTTTTGCCGGCTCAGAATATCGAGACAGCTCGTTAAGATCCTCACTAAACTGCTTCAAATATGGATTCGCTGAATGAGTGGGCCGTCCACGTCGACTCAACTGGGCCTTCCCGCCTATCTTACCTGTCAGCGCAGCCAGGACCGCCAGGTTCTCCTCTGGATGCTTGCCCATTTCGGCCAACCACCGAAGACGTCTAAATCGTAGAGTGCTCGCCATCAGAGGAAGTCGAGCTTGTAGGCGTATGTTGTTATTTGTTACGGCCGTGTGTTTTATGATCTCCCCGTCGTCGTTATACTGTTTGTGGCATGCGTCTCCCCGAAGAAGTACCCGATAATGTTTCATGATGAATTGGTCGGCCTGATCAGCAACTGCCTGGGACCAAATCTGCGCCTCTTGCCCCGAGAGAAACGTGTTATAAACCATTCCCATAAACATCATTCGACGAACTCTCAATTCAACTCCTCCCTTGGCCCAAAAATCTCCGAAGACTGACCACCCGAGACGTGCTGCAGCTTTTCGGGCTTCAAAATCAGGACCCAGCCATCCATCAACATGATGATAACCGCCTAAGTGCTTGACAGTGTGTTTGGGTGTGCCCTCGTACCATCCGTCCTGCTTCCCGTAAAACTTATCCATCTCCCCCCTCGCTCCTCGGCCGTACGTGCGAAACATGATCTCCTTTTTCCCTGCATTTTGCCATAGTCCCGTGGGCACGGAGAGCGTGTCAGCGAGGTCTGTATCCCACTGTGCAATCAACGAAGAGGCAACAGCAGCAGATCCTTTCACTTCTGGAATGACTGCCATCCGTTCCATATCATCCGCGTAAGTCGCCCACGAGAGGTCCACTTCAATGCCTGCATGTGGCTCCCGTACAAGAAATGTATTCTGATCACAATTACGCCGCCGTAGTTTGGTCCAATCAACGATCCGTTTATCATATACATATGTGAACTTATCTGGTGCTGCCTGATCGCCCTGAAGATCTCCACATTGCGCCTCAAGAATTGCCCAGTCACCGTTCTCAAAAGTCAAGTGGCACCGCGCACCCCGATGCCGTTGACAAACCAGCGCAGCATCATCCTGGATAAGCATCTGAGTAACGGTGTCATCCAATTCTGCGTGGCTAACCGATGCAAACGCGTTTGCTTGATCATAGTACACATTGAACCAAGAAAGCTGAGCTCGCCTACACCAGTCCTGAAGAATGCGAACTTGTAGAAGTGCCTGTTCACGCCGTCGATGTTCAGCAAATCCCACGGATTGTGGAGGTCGTGCCGCGTCCCTGCGGTACCACAGGCCAGCGATGTAAGCTTTGCCGAATGGACACAACAAATGAATAACTCGTTCACCTGCACACTTAGCCTTACCGTTGTTCTTGCCAATTCCCACCCCACTACTAAGATGCCACAGCTGAGGTGTACGCTGAAAGACTCGTACACCAGTCAATAAGTGCATGGTAATACGCCTATACTCAGTGGCCCCAACCACATCAAGTTCCTGCTCCTCAGCCCACTTTGGAAAAAGTAATGCCAGTCTCCACACTTCTGAGGGTGCCGCCCACTCTGGAACTGCCCGCCGTCGTTTAGCACGAGCAAGTCTTACTTTGAGGTCGCGATAATCTTGTTCGGCGAGATTGGCCTGTGTATATCTGTGTCTGTCCCACTGCTGGCGGTGCTGAATCTCTATGGGTACGTCCGAAAAACGAGAAAGCTGCCCGGCTTGGTGTTGTGCAACGTGCTGCCGAAGTCGATCCGAGACTGCTACTTGATCCCTATCCTGTTCACCCCCTTGTGCAACCACGTGTGTTTGCATCCCCCCTTGTCGGCCTTCACCTCCCATATACTCTATCCAGTCCTGAAGTGCGGGGGGGTCCTTGGTGAGCGCCTGGAAGCGTCGTTTTTTTGGCCCAACTCCCGTCCCCGCGATTCTCCGTGCCAGTTTCCATACCATATGCCAGTCCTGGGTGTGCTGTGCAGCTGTGAGCTCGTGGGCCCACTGGGCCTGATGCGTTCGACGATCACGACGTTTGAGGCTGTGTAGTTCACGGCGTGCGGCTTGGAGTTGTTCGTCTAGCTGCGCTTGTGCTGCTTCTGTGCTGTGATTAAGCCGACGCTGTGCTCGGAGTGCATTCACCCGCGCTCGTGCTGCTCTGGAGTCCTCCTGGCCGGGCCATTTCCTCCAAGGGTCATTGCTCCCGAAAGCCTGCTGGCCCGCGTCGATCAGGGCCTGGTTGTACATGTGCCAGGCGTCTTCGATTTTGCCTATCTGGACAAGAGATTGCATACGCTTACCACCCATATCGGAATAAGACCAATCTTGTAATATCTGAGAGAATCGATGATACTCAGGAACATCCCGCATCCACGCCCGAATCAGCAAGTCCGTGTTCCATCTGGCTCGTGGTGTCGCAGAGACCGTCTCCGTCTCGGCAGGGTTATTGAGAACCACATCGACTACAACTGGGATGTGATCTATATTGCGTGTCACACCCTGGGCCAGCTGTAGTCTGAACCCCGAATACTGCCAACATTCACATTTCTGGACTCGGTGTAAAGCAGATGCAGGAATAGCACAGTAGTCGATACGCGTGCAGTTGCCTTGCTGTGAGAAGTATGTGCCCATGCATATCTTGTGCGTGTTCACGAGTGCCATCTTGTGTTGATTAAGTAGACGTCGCATCCAACTGCCCTGGGGGGTCTCTTTCTCAGGACAACACCAGCCTACAGCATCACCACGAGGAGGGAGCACCCAGCCTTGGTCGTCCTTCAGGAACCCCGTGTGAAACTTTCCATCCATAAGGATAACAGGAACACACCGCTGGGGTAGGGCACT